GTCGGTCGCGGTACGGGGAGCCGTCGTCGTCGATCCCGCCGCCGCACGCCCGGTCTCTATTCGGCGGCAGCGCAGCCGCCGTACGGATCGAGGGCGAGGGGGACGAGACGCGGACTCTCCGAAGACCGCTTCGTCTCGTGTGTGCGGTCCGCACGCTCCTAAGAGCGAAGCTCGCCGCGCTCAAACGAGAGTCGGTGGTTTGTTGTGTGTGCGGGACGACGCCGAACGCGCGCGTGAAAGCAAAAGACGCGGCGCGCGCGGGTCGTCGACCCTAAACTCCGAGAAGGAGGAGAAATCTAAAACTCCGGCGCAATTCGCACTCGCGCCTATGCGGGGTTACGATTTCGTTTGTGCATCCTAATACTGCCGTCTTTAGGACGCCGGGACCTCGCATCGCTCGGTCGCCGGGCCTACAGTCTAAACTTTCCAGTTCGAGATACTATTTGCCGTAAAATTCCGCGGCGCAGCGGGAATGCGGCCTATCCTCGCTCGGAACGAGGCGAGCATTTGCATTGTGCGTTTGTGCGGTACGTCTCGTAAGACGACTCGCCGATCTGGTCGACCGCATTCGGTACGGCGCGCCGCAGGACGGCGCGCAGACCACGGTCATGCATAAGAGACGGCTTGGGTACGCGGGGTCGCCGGGCGACCGACCGAGAGAGCCGTTGTGAACGACTCCCGGAACGGTCGCGCCCCGACACACGTATCGTCAGCGAAGGACACGTGCGCCCATGCGGTAGCGCAATTTCGGAGCGGAGTGCGGACACTCCTTTTACCTCGCTAGATCCGTCCGTGAAGACGCGGGCTCGTCCGTCCAAAAGCAAAGGTATGAACGAGGAGTCGCGCGCAAAACGAAGGACTCGCAAGATCTCCGTACTTCGCTCCGGTCCTGCCGCTGAAACGCCAACAATATTTCGTAGTCTACGGCGAAAGTAGAAACGATAAACATCGCTGCTGGCGCAAAGCGGAGAACTTTCTGCAAAGCTGGATCGTCTTTTAAAAGACGTCGAGCCGCGGTGCGAATTGTTCAAATTGGTTTGAAACACTTCGCGAGAAGCTCGAAGTACGTATCTGCCGTCTCTCGACGAACAGACCCAGTACCATAATATAGTTGATCGACATTCAGGGGAACTCGGCGGGTGGTTACGCGTATCCGTCCGTTCTCCGTACGTTGAAAACCGAGCGCGCGCCTCGAATAGCAGCGCGGCCGCTGCAATGAAAACGATACCTATAAATCACGCCGATTACACAGATTAGACAGCGGAGACTTACACTTCGACACGCATTCTCTATCGGAACCTGAGCCGCGGCCGCGCTTGGAGAACTGGACGCGGGCCGGGCGGCGGTATTAGAGGAAGCGGAGAGGGCATCGGAGTTTCGTACTTCGGCGTGATTTAAAAAGGAGTCGGAGCGTAACGCGGCCGCGCTGGGAGATTCGTGCATCTATCGCGCGGCGTATTAGTAAGCGGAAGCGGAGAGGGCATCGGAGTTTCGTACTTCGGCGTGATTTAAAAAGGAGTCGGAGCGTAACGCGGCCGCGCTGGGAGGGAGATTTAAGCAGTCGGAGCGTAACGCGGCCGCGCTGGGAGATTCGTGCATCTATCGCGCGGCGGTATTAGTGGAAGGGGAGAGGGCATCGGAGTTTCGTACTTCGGCGTGATTTAAAAAGGAGTCGGAGCGTAACGCGGCCGCGCTGGGAGATTCGTGCATCTATCGCGCGGCGGTATTAGTGGAAGCGGAGAGGGCATCGGAGTTTCGTACTTTGGCGGTTCTATTTACGGTACGCGGCCGCGTTGGGAAAAATTGGATTTTTTGAACGCGATTTTCCTTATTTAAACACTATTTAAGGAACAAAGTGTCGGATTAAAGTACTCCGTACAGCGGCCCGCCATGGCATGGAACGTAATAAATTATCAAGGATTGTGTCGGTATCAAGGAGGGTAACAGTCGCCAATGGTTTGCGGTCTATTGCGTTTAAGGGAGACTCGCCCTTTCGCGAGCACCGCTGAATTGAGGCCGTCCGAGCGCGCCGCATTCGGGACCCGCCGAGTTCCCCTGAAATGTCAAACCGTCAACGGCCGCTAGCTCGGCGTCCCTTCGGGTGCGCGGCGTCGCCGAGTGTCGTGGAGGGTAGAAAATGACCACGGTTGCGACCGTAGAAGCGACGGCAGCGGATCTCGAAGTTTCGCCGTCTTCTGCATTTCAGGGGAACTCGGCGGGTTATCGCGAGCACCGCTGAATTGAGGCCGTCCGAGCGCGCCGCATTCGGGACCCGCCGAGTTCCCCTAAAATGACAAACCGTCAACGGCCGCTAGCTCGGCGTCCCTTCGGGTGCGCGGCGTCGCCGAGTGTCGTGGAGGGTAGAAAATGACCACGGTTGCGACCGTAGAAGCGACGGCAGCGGATCTCGAAGTTTCGCCGTCTTCTGCATTTCAGGGGAACTCGGCGGGTTATCGCGAGCACCGCTGAATTGAGGCCGTCCGAGCGCGCCGCATTCGGGACCCGCCGAGTTCCCCTAAAATGTCAAACCGTCAACGGCCGCTAGCTCGGCGTCCCTTCGGGTGCGCGGCGTCGCCGAGTGTCGTGGAGGGAGAAAATGACCACGGTTGCGACCGTAGAAGCGACGGCAGCGGATCTCGAAGTTTCGCCGTCTTCTGCATTTCAGGGGAACTCGGCGGGTTATCGCGAGCACCGCTGAATTGAGGCCGTCCGAGCGCGCCGCATTCGGGACCCGCCGAGTTCCCTGAAATGACAAATCATTACAACAGCCGCTACAGCTCGGCGTCCCTTCGATTTAGTTCGTGCGTATACCTGCGCTTCCGTAAAGTCCCGCCCGAGTTCCACTGGAATATGAACCGACTTGGGCCACTAAATCAAAAGTTACTACAGTATATATATATATATATATATATATATATATAATATATATATATATATATATATATATATATATATATATATATATATATATATATATATATATATATATATATATATATATATATATATATAAAGTTCAAAGGGCTGTAACTTTTTATCTAGTAGTCCAATCTTGGAACTGTTTGAAATTATGGATTCTACGGGCCAAACTCTATAAGAAAATGTTTTTTCCCGGTCGGTCTCAGACAATTTTTTTCCGGCCTCAAAAAAAAAGGCAGTTATTACCTTCCTTTTTTACCAAAAATCGACTGCTACAAAATTTCTCAGGAAAACGCTTTTTCTCACTAATTTTGGTGCGTAGAATCCAAAACGATTCGTACTTTTTCGATCAGACCTCTCAATCAAAAGTTATGGACTTAAAACACAAATTTCGAAAATATATACATATATATATATAAATATATAATGGTTATATTATATATCTATATATAACCTAAACCTAACCTAACCTAACCTAACCTAACCTAACCTAACCTAACCTAACCTAACCTAACCTAACCTAACCTAACCTAACCTAACCTAACCTAACCTAACCTAACCTAACCTAAACCTAACCTAACCTAACCTAACCTAACCTAACCTAACCTAACCTAACCTAACCTAACCTAACCTAACCTAACCTAACCTAACCTAACCTAACCTAACCTAACCTAACCTAACCTAACCTAACCTAACCTAACCTAACCTAACCTAACCTAACCTAACCTAACCTAACCTAACCTAACCTAACCTAACCTAACCTAACCTAACCTAACCTAACCTAACCTAACCTAACCTAACCTAACCTAACCTAACCTAACCTAACCTAACCTAACCTAACCTAACCTAACCTAACCTAACCTAACCTAACCTAACCTAACCTAACCTAACCTAACCTAACCTAACCTAACCTAAAACCTAACCTAACCTAAAACCTAACCTAACCTAAAACCTAACCTAACCTAAAACCTAACCTAACCTAAAACCTAACCTAACCTAAAACCTAACCTAACCTAAAACCTAACCTAAAACCTAACCTAACATAAAACCTAACCTAAAACCTAACCTAAAACCTAACCTAAAACCTAACCTAAAACCTAACCTAAAACCTAACCTAAAACCTAACCTAAAACCTAACCTAAAACCCGAACCTAACCTAAAACCCGAACCTAACCTAAAACCCGAACCTAACCTAAAACCCGAACCTAACCTAAAAACCGAACCTAACCTAAAACCCGAACCTAACCTAAAAACCGAACCTAACCTAAAACCGAACCTAACCTAAAAACCGAACCTAACCTAAAAACCGAACCTAACCTAAAACCGAACCAAACCTAAAACCGAACCTAACCTAAAACCGAACCTAACCTAAAACCGAACCTAACCTAAAACCGAACCTAACCTAAAACCGAACCTAACCTAAAACCTAACCTAACCTAAAACCTAACCTAACCTAAAACCCAACCTAACCTAAAACCATGTTTAAATAATGTATAAACAACCCTTAAACTGACCTTGAATAATAAATTTCCGTATGCTTTAAGTTTGCCAAATATTTTAAGTAATTCACACTATAACTTATAGAATACTTAGAATGCGGGGGTTGTAACTTTCGTAATACAGTGAACATTTTTATTTCTATGATAGATTATGTTTAAATAATGTATAAACAACCCTTATTTAATTTTTGGTCGAAATTTCAAACCGTAATATCTCGAGAACGGTGCGTCGTAGATATGCCTTCCGACCCCTCGTTGGAAAGGTGTCGACCAGCACTATCGATTGGCGCTGTATGACGGCGGTATTTAAAAAATGTGACAACTGCCAATTGTATCTACTACTCATTTGAACTACTCAATAGATTGATGTGTTTTTTTTTTTACATTGCATACAAACTCCTATGTTCGCGTTCGCATTTAAAAAAAATTCACTGTATATATCATAAAGGTTTTAATATAAAAACCAAGGCATGCAACCCACTATATGGTTTCTTTATTTAGAAAACTAAAAAATCATGGAATACAATAGGATATACTTATGAATTTAAAACATTATTAACATTTAGTAATAAGTTCGTAATTTAGTATAATACTAAAAAATCAGGGTCCATTTGATAATTATGAGTGAGACATTTAAGATAATCAACAATATTTCTATTTCTAAAATCTTGAACAATATTCTTAATATTTTGATCACCTCGTAAATACTTATTTAATTTTTTATCGGGTTGTCTCCCTGCAATTGCTAAGTCACGGCCATGCTGTATCTTCTTTAGCCTATATATAAATTTCCAGAGGTCCATTCCTAACTCCGTCTGCATCCGCCGATGAGCAGCTTCAGCATAATTATTTGTAGTATCTGACAAAACTCGATCATACATGGCCCACAAACTTGATGGAAATAGTGCTTCTGAACTACGAAGTACAACCGACGTTACGAAACTCTTAAATTCAGATACATACACCAAAAAGAGATGCACAATATACAAGGCACGTCACGAGCGACACTGCTTTGTATTTATAAGGATACCGGCGGTACGAATCGTAACGTGACTTGTATATGTGCATCTCTTTTTGGTGTATGTATCTGAGTTTATGAGTTTCGTAACGTCGGTTGTAGTTCATAGTTGACCGCCCTAAGTACCTGTCAGGGTCATAAACAAAGCGCTAATCCGAAACCCAAAATCATTCATTTTACGAACTATATTAATTTATTAATATGTCATTATGACCAGAATATTTAATCTGCTATTAGTGTCTATACACCTTTTACAATCGCATTATACCAATACAGATTTCCAACTTTCAATAGCCTTTCATAATGTTCAGTCTGTCTAAAATAGACGAGAAGTTATCAATTATACGTTGGTGAAATGGTAATAGTATTTCTTTATGAAACCGCTTTTCTGTAGTTTTAGAAAAAAACACACTAAATTTGTCGCCTCCAACGCAATACTGACATAAACTTACCCTAAAGGCATCCCAAACAATAGATTTTCCCTCTTACCTGCATGGATTACTGCAACAACATGCAGTCGTAGACGTGCGAGTGGGTTTAGACTGGATAGTAGACTTATAGTCAAATTGCAATTTAATTGTTTAAATCAATATGAATTTGATACAATATTACAGTACGCCCCTGGCAGCTCTCTGTCAAGAAAATTTATTAATTCGCGTCAACTTTAGACAGACAGTAGTTCCGCTAAATTTTTGCTTTAAAGAATTCTATTCGCATAGGAAACTATTTTAGGCCCAAATTCTACAATGAAGGTATATACCGAGAATAAGCTATACCTAGAATAAATGTCGACGGTTGCGTTGGTTACCATTGTGTCAACCATTGGCATACATGTTGCTATGGCAGTTATTCCAGGAATATCTTATTCTCCGTAAAAGTGTAATTGTAAAACCGGCCCTTAGTGCCTAACCGTACCCGTGCCTAATGTCCCGGCGCCTAAAAGGGCCCGTGCCTAATTAGTCGCCATCTAAATGCGCGCGCCTAAAGAGGTGCGCCTAAAGGAACGCACCTCAACGTCCCTTTCCGCGAATTCGGTACATTTTGACTTTATCTAAAACGATCAGAATTTCATGATTGGACGACTACATCAAAACTTATAGGCAATAAACCAATATCCAATCTTGGGCTTCGGTGAACCCCTGAGACCGGAAGGCACAAAACGCTCAATCGCGCTGCTTCCTTTTTTAAAAACAAAGATGATACCCTAGTCTTCTAATTGTGCAACAAAAATAGTGGTTTATACGTACTTCTCGGGCCCCTTTTCGGTTGAGATGTCAGATAAATTTGACAATTATAAGCTGGAGTTAACTGGTAGATTTTCAATAATTGTGGTTCGCTCTATATTAATAATTGCTAATTATTTAATCTTGGTAATTTATAAACGTTTGACAATATTATTAATGGGGCCACAATTTCAATGTATTCAATGTTCAGTATTTAATAACAAAATGTTATATTCAAATTTAACATTCCTATTATATTCAGGTACACTATGCGAGGCTTACGAAAATTGAACGAAGTTCATTAGTCCCCCAGAAAATACATTAACCACTGCAGACCGCACGGTTTCAATCAGACCGTTTATTTGGTTCAAATTTCGTATGCGCCGACATTGCCAGATAATGAGCACAAACTACGTTGATCTACTTTTTCTAATTATTTCCATCAACTTAATACGGTTTTCACAGTAAAGGCGAATGTGTCTTAAAAGATGACCCTTTTGCTTATACGCCAGGTTACATCTTCTGCACACGAACTGATGTCGTCCGTAAGTTCTGACACGGTAGTAACCTAAAATAAGCAAATCAGTATAAGTATTTGGTAAAAACAACAAAATTATGGAAATCCCTCACATTTGCGTTAAGCATTTAGATCTTTTAAACCCAGATTCCTCATGCTTTTAAATTCAAACACCGTGTAGTATTAATTATATATTTTGAGATTAATTAATTAATTAATAATAACACAAACCTTCCCCATGTTTGCTGTTTATTAGTTAATTTTTTTTTCATAAATGACAATTAGTTAATATTGATTGCGACTAGTTTTAACTATATATTACAAGTCATCTTCTGCCTACAAAATTCGTTGATAAAGAATATGCTTAAAGCTTAGAGTACAGACCTTGATGGACAATGAATTGCATCCTTAAATTACATACAAAAATTTCCGAAAGCGTGCTATAAAAGCAAGGTTAGTTATATCTGACGTATATGTATATATTTATATACAGGGTGGTGACTTGCGTAACGCATCATAGGGATTTCAATGTAAAATTCATAACATGCGATTATTGGCTCCCCAAATTATTTTAGAGTAAAAATGTATTAAGGTTTTTTGTAGGAAAAAATTTTTTACGTCAATCAACCCTATTAGTTTTCAATTTTTTGCATAATAAAGACGGAAAATTGGAAAATAAAACCCCCATCTTTTTCAATAATCTGCGATGCCATGGAATTTTTTAAAACAAAAAGATATCCAGTTATCAATTAGCAGCAGTTCGAAATGGCTTTTATGATCGACTTGGTTACTGTATTGCAGTTAATGGTGACTTATTCGAACATTTATTGTAAATTGTTATATTAGGAAACCGTTTTTAGTAATTTGGTCTTTCTTTATGTTGAATTCGCTGTTCTAAATATAATACTTTTTGATAGAATTTGATTTGTTTTAAAGCGGACATTCCATGGCATGACGGATATTGGCGTAGTTTTTGTATTATAAAATTCCATGGCATCACAGATTATTGAAAAAGATGGGGGTTTTATTTTCCAATTTTCCGTCTTTATTATGCAAAAAATTGAAAACTAATAGGGTTGATTGACGTAAAAAATTTTTTCCTACAAAAAACCTTAATACATTTTTGCTCTAAAATAATTTGGGGAGCCAATAATCGCATGTTATGAATTTTACATTGAAATCCCTATGATGCGTTACGCAAATCACCCCCCTGTATAATATACTTACAGGAAAAAATATTGTTTTTTTGGTTACGTGACGCTAATAAGCCAATTGTGCTGATCTACTGGCCTAAAGTCACTAGATATACCGGGTGAATACTTGCAAATCGAACATAGGGATTAACATGGGAAAACAGTTTCTCGCAGCTTGTTGCTCCTCAAATTAACTTAGAGGGTTCATAATGACACTACTGGAAAGAAGATTTTTTTCTCATCTAACTAAATGCGACTTAGTTAAGTTTTATTTGTATTTTGAATTTTCTCATTATTTTAACAATTCCCAAAATAAAATAAACTCAAAAAATCATGTAGCCATGACCCGTAGATTTAAGCATCCGGAATTGTCAAATTGAAACAATATCTGTCGTTTGTCGATATGGACAAAATAGAAGTTTGATTAAATTCCACGGAAAATAAATCTCGCACTCTGCGGTAACTATTACCGCCGTAAACGTTTTTTTACAATAAACACTTTTTCCTCAATGGAATACATTGTAAGTTTTGTAGTAAGTACAAATTAAAATTATTGACAGTTATCGTACCTTGTTTTCATGACTATCGTGTTTTTTTAAACCAAATACACATTTTGACTACCTAATTTCGCAAAATAATAATTAAACGTGCAACTACCCGTTAATAATTTGCATATCATAAAACGCGGAAAAAAATCTTCTTTCCAATGGTGGCATTATGAACTCTCTAAGTTAATTTGGGGAGCAACAATCTGCGAAAAACTGTTTTCCCATATTAATTCCCTATGTTCGGTTTGAAAGTATTCACCCGGTATAGAAAGTACCGCAATCATCTAAACTCAACTTAAAAAAATTGACAAATATAATCTGAATAGCTGTAATTTTGTTATAACCTAACTTTGCATACTACTGTAATGTTTTATAAAAATATACGAAAGGGCACTTATATCAATCGATCAATAATAATATTTCGTCTCGGGACTGTGCAATGAAACAAGCACAAAATAAACATTATTATGACTACTTACTACTTCCAAGAATGATTAAAAACTGCGCTGTAAGCAATAATGCCTGCAGCTTATTGTATATGTGTTGTAATCTTTAAATTAGTGTAAGTACCTATAACCAGTTTCTGTTTACAGCAGTGCATGTAATTGCTTCTTCGCAGTGCTTTGTATTAAAGGAAACAAGATAACCATAGCTTGAAAGCCATAAAGCCGAAGTAGTGACTATCGGCTAGACCTGAGTTCTCACAAGAAACACCGACCATAATAATAATAATACAATACAAAACTATCCACAATAATAGACCAGACTTTAGATAAAACACAAAAATTCATTTGTATTATAGATATTGCCATTCCCAACACTTAACAACTTAACTAAAACACATGCAGAGAAACACCGCAAATACTACTGTCTACTGTTATAGTTCCCATTATTCTTAGTGCTACCGGAGTTATACCAAAGACAATACACCACAATTTACCACTATTAGGTTTAGACAAAAACACATACAAACATTTACAAAAAGCAGTCATTATCAACACATGCCATATTGTTCGTAAATTTCTAAACATAACACAAGATACTACATACACAAATGATCCACAACGTATATAATATGTAAACAACACTACAACTCGCTCAACCTATTAATAATGGAGGAATCGGACTAGTTCACATCCCGTCAAAGATTATAACCTTTCCGGTATGGCTAGTGAGGAAGCTCATAACCAGTCCAGAAGATCAACCTTGGAAAGTGGTCATGGAACATTCCTTAAAATCCATCGACTCATTGGGTCTCTCATGGCATTGGTTTTTCCTAAAAGAAAAGGTTCCGCAGATAAATAAAGTATCTGCATTATTATTGGACCTTATTCAAACATCACAAAAAGTCAATATGTCGTTGGACGATGTAAATGAGTTACAAATGCCCACGATCGATTGCACACTTTTACCCTGCACAGTTCCACCGATTTTTACCCAATATTGGCATGAGAATGGTTTTGTCACAGTGAGTGACTTTCGCAATGGGGCCGTATGGTTAGATGAAATATCCGTGAAAGCGAGGTTATCACATTATTCAAACCACCTACAGGACGACCTCGTTAACCAATACCGTAGGATAAAATGTTTTTTTGACAGACGATTAGTTTATAACTCCCAAACACGGCCTCAACCTGAACTTTCATTCAATATGGCGAACAGGAGATTCAAACTCATCGTGCGAACCAGAAGAATTCTGCACAAGAAGATTACAGATTACAACCCACTCGTATTCAACCCAAACGCAAAGCCAAAGAAACACTTACACAATAAACTCCATTTAATAAAATTGCTAAACTTAGGTACAGGAATTATTATAATTATTTTTTTGTTTTGTTTTCCTCTTTCCTGATACCGTTGGCTATTGTGCCCATCAATAGCTATGTTGGTAAGTATGAATTACATACTATCCCTAGATTTCCAATGTGCGTGTGTGAATTTTTATTTTATTAATATTTCTTTAGGATCCTACATAACTTCACCAGACACAGACACTAATCGTTACTTGATTTTAATCCGTGCGATTAGTTAACCAGGCTAGACCTGAGTTCTCACAAGAAACACCGACCATAATAATAGTAATCATATTTATTCAAAAAAATTTTTTTGTTAGAACCTCATGGCATAGATTCAGCAAAACGCTACTCTGCCAATTCTGAATTTAATTTAGACGTCAAAAATAGCAAGCTTAGGTTCTACCGTCGCGGTGTTTCCAGAAACAGCATTGCCAGATGTTCTGAACGTCATTTCATATGGTGGTTCTTGTGACATTTGAAATAAGAATTACAGCTGTCATTAGAAAGCATTATCATATGTTTAACTTTATCTACCCTAGCGGTTAAAGTGATCACTTTATCTACCCTCGCGGTTAAATAGCGTCTTATCATACTCATCCAGACCTATTAAAATGTCATTTTAACATATGCAAAAAATAAATCAATTAATTTTATAGCATATGTTAAATATCTGTACCTCGGTCTGTAGGTACCATCTATTCCAGCGCTCCTAACGAAATACGACAACATCAGTATGTTGCAGTCCCCGCAAAATGGTGGAGTATGACGCAGCATTTGATGTCTCCACTTCTGGTTGCAATTTTTACAGTATGACGCGAAAACACAGCATGCAAGACATATAACCCGGAGAGTTGATGGTATTCTGTTGAATATTTTTCTCTTTGAAGATGCGGAAAACGTACATGAGAAGCAACTTCTACCTAGTAACCTCCTAATCGGTGTAGCTGCAAGAACATACGTATTATATCAATTTTATGTGATGTTCTTTATAATTAAACCTTCTATTCTGCACCGTCTGTTAGACCGACTGAGTGGAAAAAGGGCGTCTTACTTACCGATGCAGTTATCTACAGGCAAAAATGAGAGGTAACCGCCGTTTGCGACTTACATTAGAAAGACAATTTTTTTTCTATATTTGTTTCAAATAATTGCATCGTTATAAACAGCGTGACTACGAATCAGATGCTTTTTAAAATTAGATTTTTGCTTAGCCCCGTAAGTACAATTTCCAATATGGCATATAAATTGAGCAGTTTTTCCGCATTCATATTTTTCGTGTCTCCAAAGCGAACCATCATGCTTGTAACTTTTTAAACAACTTTTACATTGATAGCGAGCCCCGTGTCCTGTAAATAAATATCATTTTTAAATTTACTACTATGAGTACACGCAACATTTTTATTTCCAACTTAATCAAGAAATACAGTAAATACAATAAAATTCAGAAATGGGTGTTTTTATGTATTAGTGTGATGGATCACCATGACGTGTCGTTTTAAATGAACCTTTTGTTTAAAGATTCTTTCACAAACCTGACAAATAAACTGTCCGATTTGGTTACACTCGTATCGTTTGTGAGTCCACAAATTGCGATAGTACTTGTATTGTTTGCCACATGTGTCGCAAGTAAACATCTCGTCCATTACTTGGCCTAAAACACAAATGTCTTTACGTGTTTGGACATTTTTGGATTGATGGTCGTAGATTGCGACTTGGTAATCATACATTAAAAGTGACATAAACATTTGTTTCTCGCCTATTTAACATAGAAGATAATCACTTGAGCAAAGACCCATAACATTCCCAAAATTCGTTTAGGTACAGTAAAAACGTATCAAAAGTATTGTAGGGCCAGATTTTTTTTAGTCCATTCATGTTATTGAGCTTACTACAGGAAATTGTTTCGTTAATTCCTTGCATATAAAAACGTATACTCAGTGAACGAGTTCATAAAATTGGAGTTTTAAGTCATAAATGTTTATTATTTAAAACGGAATAATGTATAGAAAATTTGACGATACCTACAATTGCAAATATGTTATAAACTTTTATGCATAGCAGTAATGTGCGTTTTTACATTATATTTGCGTCTAGATTTGTAAGGACACACTGAACATTGAAAACTTCGATCCTTTCCACAGTCCAAATGCTTATGAGCAGTTAAAGAAGGAAGATTTTTGTACTTTTTATGGCACTGGTCACAAGTAAAGTTTCTGAAGGCGACTGCAGCTACGACACCTGCAACATTACATGTTAGAACAGTATTAGCAATTATAATGGAATTTCAAAGCATTCGAAATTCTTTGATACTGTGCATACACCTCGTGCGGCCTAGCTAAAACATATGGTGCTGTATGGAACAAAAAAAAAAATGGTTTTAGAGATGAAGTAGTGTTAGCCATAAACAAATTAAAGAGCAGATACTACGACGCCTCCTCAGGACTCATCTTTTTTTTTTACCATAGACTGTGCTGGTGTGGTGGCTGTGCACAATTTATTCAATACCTCCTTCCGCTCCCAACATGGAAGAACGCTAATATATGCTCAATACTAGAAAGTGAAGATCGGAGTGAAGTCACCTTCGCCTAGTCCTTGGATAACTTCAAACCGTATAAAACTATCAGTCAAATTTGTAGTTATATTTATAAGAGGTAAAAATTTATTTCACAGGTAAAATTAAAATTAAGTTCTTTAATTTTTTTTTAACTTTATTGCTAATTTACAATCTACTCGAAATAATACAGAGTAATTAGTAAATCGTATACAGCGTGTAGGATATAACTATGGGCACTAAAGGGGACTAGTTCAACCACATTTTTTTTAGCACGAAATTGAAGCACTACTCAAAACAAACTTACCGTACAAGATAGTACATCCGTTCTAAACAACTCAGAAATACAGACATTTGCGACACTCAAGCAATCGATAGATAATAATAATAGTATTCAACCCAAACGCAAAAACCTAAACACTTTTGACTCACAACATACTGTAATATCTTCACCTTTAACCCAACCAACCACACAAATACAACTTCCTGGACAAACAAACACAATAAATACAAGTCACGCAACATGCACTACAAAGACAGGTCCACCCAATACAATTACACGTCCTAGCACAGTTAAAAAACACAATACTCTTTCTTTTCAGAAACACACCACGTTATCACAACCCACTCGTATTCACCATAAACGGAAAGCCAAAGAAACACTTACACAATAAACTCCATTTAATAACATTGCTAAACTTACAGGAATTATTAAAATTATTTTGTGTTTTGTTTTCCTCTTTCCTGATAGCGTTGGCTATTGTGCCCATCAAGAGCTATGTTGGTAAGTATGAATTACATACTATCCCTAGATTTCCTTAATGTGCGTGTGTGAATATTTTTGTTCTTTTTTTAAGACCGGACATAACTTGACCAGACGATCAACGTACAGACACAAACACTAATCGTTACTTGATTTTAATCCGTGCGATGAGTTAGCCAGGCTAGACCTGAGTTCTGACAAGAGAAATATCGACCATAATAATAATAATAAATACCCTGTGCCTGTGCCCTAATCAACCCATTCGTATTCAACCCAAACGTAAAAACCTGGACAGCACTTCTGACTCACATGACACACAATATTCCTCCGTTATTTTTGGTATAAAATGGGTCATCTTGCTGAAAACTTTTCGCATATCGTTGCTCTGCAAATGAACAGCAACAGTTTATTGGCTCGAAGAAGATGTTTCGATTTGATTTTTCTCTTTAAACTGATTAATGGTCATTGTGATAATTCCTTGCTGCTTCAATCAATAAACTTTAATGTACCCGAGAAACATATTAGATACACTCACCCATTGTTTAAATTAAACAATGACTCACCTTTTCTCTATTAAATCCTCCAAAACTAACTATCTCAAAAACCTACCCATTGAGAGATTTATGTGTTTAGCTAATAGTTATCCATATATTGATCTATTCAATGTTTCTCTAAATTTACTCAAACAAAAGTTAAAATTACATCTCACATATGTTGATATGGATTTTTATCAGAAACGTTAACCATAGCACTTTTGGAATGATAATGTAGCATGTTTGTTTATTAAGAGTATGTTATAGGTATAAACGGTAATGTATATTATTATTGTGAGTTATTATATTAATTTAATTTAATTAATATTGTATAACATGTTTTTTTTTATGTGTAATGTACACTTTAAACTTGTTATTGTTATAGGTAATTTATTATTCTTGTTCTTTTTTGGGGTTTCCCTGTAAATAAATATTATTATTATTATTATTTTTATCAGGAAAAAGGGCAACGACAACAAAGGTCTTACGCCTAATTTATTCGTTTTAATCGTTACTTCTTATTAAAATTATTATATTATTATTATTATTACGTCGTCTGACAGCTGCGAGGTATGTTGGACGTCTTTCTATGGCTCTGCAAGCAAAGTTTAATTAACAGGCGAATTAGTCCAGGGAATAGAGGGTTTTAACTTGCAAAATGAGAAGTAGTTCCAATTTCTTTTGCATGTCATAGACAGTCATCTGGTGATTAAGAATCTAAGTTTTCGACCTCCCACCCCTTGTGCTTCCCCCGTACCACCCCCAAAACCCCTGAAATTTGGATGGTTTCTTAGTTTTTCAATCATATCTTTTTAATGGTTCATTTTACAAAAAAATATTGTTATCAGAAATTGTAGACCATAACATTCTACACAACTTTGATATACACTACTTTTTTCTGAAATGTTTATTAAAAAAGATATAGAGCTTGAGAGTTGGTTATATTTTTAAGAATTCTGAAATTTCTATGTAGATGTTTTAACCAAATTTCATACTTTATCTTTATAATTAAGAGTTTTATGAGAAACTGTCTTGAATTTATCGTGGTATAAATCCCCCTACGCTGCACCCTTACCAAAGGGGATGCATAATAATTCAACTTTCAACCCTTGCTAGTGGGGATATATGAATCACTGTGAGATTGTACGGCTGTCTAATATACGTTTGAATTATCTCACTTCAGTTCAGCTTCACCCCCCACCGCTCCTCCCGCTGGAGGAGGGAATAGACAATTTACGCTCTGTGGCGATTGTGAAGTTAGTCAGAGAATAATATATAATAATAATAATACTTCTTTATTTCTTACTATATACAAATGAAGTCTTTTCAATGCATAAGAAGAAATACGTCCTAATGTATTACATTTACCTACTATTCTAAAAATTCGTTAATGGAATAGGGTTCCATGTTTATTATATATATACAACGCTTATTACATATATTTTTTTCTATTCCGCTTAAATACCTATTCCTACCGCGGGTGGGGGAGGGGGGGGGAGGATGAAGGGTATGAAGGATGAAGCTGAACTGAAGTGAGATAATTCAAACGTATATTAGAAAGCCGTACAATCTCACAGTGATTCAAATATCCCCACTAGCAAGGGTTGAAAGTTGAATTATTATGCATCCCCTTTGGTAAGGGTGCAGCGTAGGGGGTTTATACCACGATAAATTCAAGACAGTTTCTCATAAAACTCTTAATTATAGAGATAAAGTATAAAATTTGGTTAAAACATCTACATACAAATTTTAGAATTCTTAAAAATATAACAACTCTCGCTCTATATCTTTTTTAATAAACATTTCACAAAAAAGTAGTGTACATCAAAGTTGTATAGAATTTTATGCTCTACAATTTCTGATAACAATATTTTTTTGGTAAAATGAACCTATAAAAAGATATGATTGAAAAACTAAAAAACCAACCAAATTTCTTTGGTTTTAAGGGTGGTACGGGGGAAGCACAAGGGGTGGGAGGTCGAAAACTTGGATTCTTAACCACCAGATATTCTTTCATGACATGCAAAAAAAATTGGAACTACTTCTCGTTTTGCAGGAAATGGTCCATTTTCAGTCTCTATTTCCTGGACTAAAATAATCAAAATAGTGAATTATCGGGTATAAACAAGTGCTTATGAATTATTGTACCTAAACAAAATGAAGTGCAATCGTTGTGACCAAGATATCCTATCTACCGAAGTTCAATGTCGAGGTTGTAAATCCGAATACCATTTTGTTTGTTCGATATCGGAAGCTACATACAGGGCAAAATCAAAATCCGCCAAAGCAACGTGGAGATGTGCGGTTTGTCGTTCCGCCAAAAATGCAGTGACTGGGAGCGCTACTGTTGATGAGGACGGAGACGAAGGGGATAGCGATACCAATGAGGAAAGTTCACAATCCAAGGTAACTTTAGATGCTATACTTAAGTCGATTCAATTTATGTCCAATAAATTCGATAATCTGTCATCTCGTTTCGATCAATCCATTCAAGAAAATCAGGAACTAAAGGAGGAAATAAAAGGTTTAAAACGAATGCTGGAACGAAAGGATGAACAAATTGCCGAATTAGATGTCCGTGTCAATGTTCTTGAGCAACGTTCAAAAAGAAAGTACGTTGAGATTCACGGCGTAAGCGATAATGACCAAATTTCACCCGAAAATCAATTCGAAAAAATTGCACAATCTGTGGGATGCGGTAATATTACACCCATAACAGTAACAAAAATAAAACTTGCTAATTCTTCGTTTCTACTGGCTAAAATGGAAAGCGCGGAATTAAAAAGAACGTTTCTCAAAAAGGGAAAACAGTGGTGGGCAAATCTTTCGGAACTCGAAAAGAAAAGTAACGCGAAATTATACTTTAACGAAAACTTAACTCCACAAAATCGGAAAATGTTAAAGGAAGCCAAAATACGTGCTAAAATTTATAATTTCAAATACGTATGGGTCAGTGAAGGACGTATATTGGTGCGTAAAGACGATAATCAACGTGCATTTCGAATAAACTCGTTGAGTGATGTAAACAAATATATAAACTGATATTTTTGTAAACGATATTTGCCGATAATGACATTGTTAACCTTTGCTACCTTTGAATTATTTTTAACAAATAGAATTTAGACTTTTAGTAAATAATTAAGTGTTTTCTTTATTTAAAATTGAGCATTAAAAAATTATTATACAGGGTGACAATTTGAAAACTTACCACCCCCCATATCTTAGTAAATAAACAAGATATTTAAAAAAATCAAAATCCGTTTCGGTAATTCGGAGGGGGAATCACAATGACATAGTTGGCGACGCACCCCCTCACACCCCCTGCGCCCTAGCCACCCCAACTTTTAAATCTTAAATAGTGACTCCCCATGTGTGATACGTCATTGGAAAGCTCTGAAAAAATGCTTTCCAACCATACCAAATAGCATTACATTTAGGTTAGTAATTATCGTGCAAATCAAAAAATAAACTAANACACAAGTAACGCAACATGTACTACAAAGACAGGTCCATCCAATAAAGTTACACGCCCTAGCACAGTTAAAAATCACAATACTCCTTCTTCTCAGAAACAACCCACTCGTATACAACCGAAACGCAAAAACCTTAACAGCACCACAGGCTCACAAAATACTGCAATATCTCCACAAAAAACCCAAGCAACCTCACAAATACGACCTCAGGAACAAAGAAACACCATAAATACAATTAAAAAACAAAAAACTCCTTCTTCACAGAAACACACCACGTTATCACAACCCACTCGTATTCAACCCAAACGCAAAGCCAAAGAAACACTTACACAATAAACTCCATTTAATAATATTACAGGAATATTACTTATAATGATTTTTTTTTTGTTTTGTTTTCCGCTTTCCTGATAGCGTTGGCTATTGTGCCCATCAATAGGTATGTTGGTAAGTACGAATTACATTATCCCTAGATGTCCAATGTACGTGTGTGATTTTTTTTTTTTTTTTTTTAAGGACCCTACATAACTTCACCAGACACAGACACAGACACTAATCGTTACTTGATTTTAATCCGTGCGATTAGTTAACCAGGCTAGACCTGAGTTCTCACAAGAAACAACGACCATAATAATAATAATAATAATAATAATAATAATAATAATAATAATAATAATAATAATAATGTATTTCTGTCAGTAGATCACAAACAATGATATAGACAACGTCAAAGGTTTACAAACAAGATAGATAATATAAGATAAACACAAACAAATAAGGTACCTATAATAGTTGCATGGACTATGCCGATCTCATGTACATTTCGTTGAGGCTATAATAAGCTCTCCCCGTTAGATATTGTTTTAATCTTTTTTTAAATAAAGATGGCGTCTTGGCTATGTGGATGTTGGGAGGCAATTCATTGAAGATTCTGATACCATATAGTAAAGTTCATATAATGAATACTATAGGCAAACATACTTCCACAGCGGTTATAGTCAAGCAATTTGCTGATCACTTCTCGAACCAACTCAATGAGCTTAAAAACAGTGTCAGCATAAGATGAACTTGAGGTTGGATCCGGAGGAACCAAATTTTTACTTTTATATGCCCTACTCGACAGAAACACAAATTGAGGAATTAATCAAGAATCTGAAGACTAATACAGCGCCTGGAAATGACAATATTAGACCGATCGACATTAAAAGTAACTCTCAGATATTTTCAAAATTAATCTCAAGAATAATAAATCTTTCACTGAGAAAAGGAATTTTTCCAGAAGAACTTAAAGTGTCCATTACGCGACCAATATTTAAAAAGGGAGATGCCAATGATGTAAATAATTACCGTCCTATATCCATATTACCAGTAATAGAAAAGATTTTCGAAGGCTATGTAGTGGCACATCTACGAAGATATACAGGGTGTTACACGACCGTTCGAAAAAAAAAAATCGGGTTGTAGAGGGCATCAAAACAAGCACTTTTTCCAAATAAATCGAGGGTCCAACGTGTTTCGTTTGGGAGCCACCCCCCAAAGAGTGTTGAAATCTGCATTTCTTCTTTAATTTTTTTCTCAGCAACCATAAGAGTTACAAAGTCGGGTGGCATGTCTTTGAATAGGTTTTTGGGTATGCTCTTTCCGATTTTGCAATTTTTTTTTTCAAAATTCCTACCCCTAAAGGGCGCACCCCTAAACTAGGGTGCAAAAAAAATTCTGATTTCGACGAAATTTGGTATCTGGGGGTTTTTTAACATGAAAATCACGAATCTGAAATTAGTTTTTGAAAATTCGAAAAAAAAAGTTCCACTGCAATTCTTGGCGGGACAACGAAAATAGAGATAATTCCACGAAATTTGTTGTGTACATACTAAACGAGTTAAGGAACAAAACTGTCGAACAGTTTTTTAAAATAACTTTTCAAACAAAAGTTATACTCATTTGAATGTTGGTCCTTCGGGTCGCGAAGTGTCCCAAGCCTACTAGTAAGCCATAATTTCGCATGTGTTGGTTGACAATGTCGCAAAAACAAAAGATTAACGGTTTGAGTCGATATTTTGTTATTTGGAATTAATTCGGTCATTAAATGATTAAAAAATTCGATGTATCGATTAAAACACCTACCAAGGTATCTTAAAGCGCTGATCGATTGTTTATTATCTAAATAAGGTAGGGGAAAAGTTTTATTCAGTTGAAGATAATCTTAAAGGTCACGGTTCATTTTTTCTAGAAAACATTTGGCAGTTCTGAAAAGAACTTTTTTTGTTTTTAGTGATCAGTTAAGGCACGATATATGAATAATTGTTGTATAATCTTGTTTTTTTTGTAATGTTAATCTTAAATTTTTGTCACAATGATTGCACTCCACTAACCTCACTGAGTCAATTACTTTGTTTAAGTTTTCATTTTTAATATTTCTATGTAAATTTGCAACAATGATCGGCACCTACCGATAAGTAATAACTTGGTAGGACCGCATTATGTAGATATCTACAATAATAAATGAAATGAAAAATGAAATTATGGTCGGTGTATCTTGTGAGAACTCAGGTCTAGCCTGGTTAACTAATCGCACGGATTAAAATCAAGTAACGATTAGTGTCTGTGTCTGTGTCTGGTGAAGTTATGTAGGTCTACAAGGCTTCAAAAATTTAAAAACATTGTAGAACATTCTATTTTATGTCCATTGTACTTGTCCTACATAAGTAGAAGGTCACCAATCGATGTTCTTCATCAGTCGAAGTGAACCATTACACTGATATTTCATATGGCGTTGTAAAGTTGATTTATACTTATACCTCTTGTTGCAATTTGCACAAAAGTATGGTTTTTCCCCATCTAAAACAGAAACCAACATTATAAGACGTCTCGACATGTGTGAAACACTGGTAAAGCAAATTAATTTTACTCACACGTTTCCTTGCGCATTTAAATAATTAAACCAGTAAATAGATGTAGGTAGGTATCAATTGACCTAGGTTGCAATTTGAGATTATTCTGTCAGGAGACAGAAGCAGAAAAACGAACATCGCACCTCCGTGATCACTGATAGTACATGAAATTCATATATTAGGCATCGCTGCAATGTGTCAGGGGCGTTACTCTGTCGCTACTTAATAATATAGATATTAATCAGAGTTATAAGATCAAACGTAAACATTACTTGTTATATTTCTTATTGCTACACGTGAATCATATCTTTGATTAGATTTTGACTATACAGCGCTTTCCAAACGGAAAAAAGCTTTTAATTGTTTAATGTCTCTTGGTCCAAAAATGCAATTTTACTAGTAGACTGGTTCACTTTTATAAAAAACAGCGTTTTAACAGGTTCTAGGGGCATTTCAGACAACATTTGGCCAAATAGGTGTTTTTTACTAATTTGGACCTGCTGAACACGAATATCGATGTTGGCACCTCGAAATCTGAACAGGAGGTCCAGATCTCAAGATGGCGGCCAATTTCCGAAAATGTTGATATTTTCACTCATGCGACCGATTTTTTCGATCTAAAAACGGATTATAATGTTATTCCTGACGGAGGTATGGCACGATAATAATAGTGAACAAATGTTTAAACAATGATTTCATAGTTTTTCTAAAGCCTAATTTACATTTGGCAAGTTTACTGGCGGAAAGTACTTTCTGCCAGTAAACTTGCTACCCTATTTCTATTTAACTGGCACTTTCCGCGCATTTACACGTGGCAAGTTTACTGACCGACAGTACTTTCCGCCAGTAAACTTGCCAAATGTAAATTAGGCTTAACGTCAAAGTGCGTAAAAGTGGATTCCTTTTTTTCATAGTACTATGGCTACTGTTTAAATTTCTTCACATCGTGTAATTATTAAATTATTTCTGTTTTGGCAAGCATTTTGGTTCCTGTGCGTCGTGTGAAAGATATCCGCGATGGTCCATTACCTCGCATATGAAAGAATTTCCTTTTATTAGAGGAAAACAAAAGAAATCTTGTCGCATCACCTTGAAGAGGCCTCATTTGACGGCGTACTGGTGATTGCGAGAGGCTTCAATGATGAAAGAAAAGTTTTCTGTAACCGTCAGATGACACAGATTTCCTCCTTAGAAGCTTTTCACATCAAGGAAGCGGATACTAGAAAAACGCTACAGATACAGATGCATTCCTGTTGCTTCTTCATCACTTCGAGGTTTCAGGAGCTGCGAAGCTTTAGATCTAACAATTCTGAACTCCATTCTCTTGGGATTCCCTCTAATCTTCTCTAGCATTTCATCCATTTCCATCATTACGGCATATCAGGTGTAAATCTCAAGATATACTTTTTTTATCTTATAAACTATGAAATGTCGCTCAGACTACCTTATCTATCCTGAATTGAAAATAGCTACATTCCCATTCTCCCAACGTTAGATTAATTCCGAAGGCTGCTCTAGATATCGTCCTTTGTCGCTGTAAATAGGATTGCTCGTCAAAACTTTGTAAAAATATCGCAAAGCTCAATTGATTTGTACTACCTAATTGTCAAGAAGACGATTGACCTAACACCATAAGAATAACGAAGGTGTTAATAAATTTGTATTCACTTTTCTATGTTTT